GTGTTCCTGTGCAGATGGATATGCTCTGGCAGAGGATGGCAAACACTGTGTCCCAACAGGTACAAAGCCAGGTGATAAGTCAGTAGCAATGGTGGTAAGATTTGTTTCACTGTTAAGGGATGTCTTGGTTCATGGCTGAGGAATGTCTTTTGTACCACCAGTATCCTACATGACACAGATCTAACAGTGAGGACAACTGATCTGTATTTCCAAAGCTTTCAATTTGTGAGATGCTGTGATATACTGGGTCAAAATCTAGGTGATTTGGAACCTTTTGCAAGGTACCACTCAGTGAGGCTTCTCATAATAAATTCCACTGTTAACAATAGAATCAAAGAATCRTAGAATCATAGAATATCCTGCTTTTCAAAGCACCCACYTSGATAATCTAAGTTCAGCTCCTGGTCTTGCATTAGACTACACCAAGGATAACTCCATATGCCTAAAAGTCTTGTCCAAACACTTCTTGAATTCAGTTAGTCTTGGAGCCTTGACTGCTTYCCTGGGGAGCCTGTTCCAGYGCCCAGCCACCCTGTGGGTGAAGAACCCTTTTCTCATATCCAACCTAAACCTCCCTTGACACAGCTTCCTGCCATTTTCTCGGGTTTCTTCATGCAAAGGTCTGTCAAGCATTGGAATGGMCTGCTCAAGAAAGTAGTGGGGTCACCATTCTTGAAGGTTTACAAGAAACAACTGGATGGGGCACTTACAACTATGATCTAGTTAACGAGGTGGTGTACCATCAAAGGTTGGACTCAATTATCTTGGATRTATTTTTCAACTAAGTTATTCTGTAATTGTGTGTCCTAACACTGGTCACCACAGAGAAGAGCTCAGTGCCTGTCCCTGCTCTTCCCCTCAAGAGGAAGCTGTAACTGCAATGAGGTCTCCCCTCAGTCTCCTCCAGGCTGAACAGACCAAGTGACCTCAGCTGCTCTTCACACGGCTTTCCCTCAAGGCCCTTCACCATCTTCATTGCCCTCCTTTTGGCACTCTCTAAGAGTTTGATATTTTTCTTACATTTTGACACCAAAAACTACACAGGACTCAAGCTGAGACCACACTGYGAAAAGCAATCACAGTACGATCTCCTTTGCTTAAACATTTACAGGCCATACAAAAGAGCAGCTCACAAAAAAATTTTKCTTTAGATTTCAGTTAATCTTATCAACTAGTAACTGAAGAGAWTGGGTAATTATGTTTAGCACTATATACATATGTACGATTTTGTTGYATTTTAAAATGCCATGGAGAGGGGTAAGTCAACCATTTATACATCATGTCAGTTTTTATACCCTTTATAGCTAAAAAAAATTGCTGTCATTAGCCATATTATTCCAAAAATAAAGCACTTCCAGTTTCCAAATTAAGAACATTTTATTAAGAGGAACTACATGATTATATCAATATAAATAATTGAAGATGATGTATAAAATATTAAATACTTTCAAAACATGGTCATGAGA